TAGATAGATAGATAGATAGATAGATAGATAGATAGATAGATAGATCACTTTAAGTGGTCTTAATGATTTGCCTTTTATTTTGCAAATTTACTTGCATGTCTCTTTAGCTCAGTTCAACTCTGCCTTTGAATGGCCTGTGTAATAGCCACCACAGAGTCACTAATACTTCTCTTTGTTACTTCAACAGGGACCCTAAACACATTTGTTAAGTCATTTGCCTCTGAATGTCATGTAAAGGAGCTCCTGGAGAAAAGTTTGACACAGCGGTTTCCCCCTGCGAGTCACGCTGAGGGCCCACACAGCCTGGTCCTGCCTTTATAACCATGGAGGCCTTATGGCAAAGCGAGCGCGCTGGACAACTGACCCCCCCACCGGCCATTTATTCGCTTTATTACAAAGGTTAATTGTTCTTCAACGAGAAACCGAGGAATTAAATCATCTAGCGGGACTTGATTTGACGTTTTAGAGCTTAATATGAAAACTTTTTTTTTCTTTTAAAGACCATATATATATATATATATATATATATATATATATATATATATATATATATATATATATATATATATATATAATGAAATAAATTGTACAATTTATGTAACTTTCTAATCGTCCTTGTTTACTTTAGATTGAGGAATCCAGGGAGACATCCCTTGGCAGAAGATGGGAGAGAAAAACCTGCAAGAAGGGTTCGATGAGAAACGTGCCAATTGAAAACAGGCACAGGAAAAACTCCTGTGGAGGTGTGATCTCACCCACATTAAAACATAAACGCGCGCAACAAATGGCCAGCTTCTGCGTAATCATGCCACGAAATAAGCAGCCATAAATAGAAAGGGGGAAATCACAGAAAGGGGAAATCCTGAGTTACGACTTAAGAGTCGTTTCTCTTTTGCGTAGATATAAAAAAAATGCAAAATTTAAGTTTTCATAGCTTATTTACAAGCGAAAGCGGACGGAATACGCACACACTGGGAGATAAGTTTTTTAATCTGAAATATAACCATACGTGCGTAAAGAGACATTTAAAGCATAACTTAAGCATCCATGGCTTTGATGTGAAACGGGTGAATTAAGTGGAGCAGGAGCAAAGTGTCCTGAGTATAATTAAGTTCTGGTTATTACATTCTCTTTTCACCTTTCTACTCCTTCCATCACATGTAATTTACACCGAATGGTAAGTAAACCGCCTCTGCAACCACAGCGGACTGTCATCGAAGCAATTTGTCTCCTCAGCTTTCCAGCAGCTGAAGGTTCAACAAGCCAAGGCCGCATGCATGCAGCAATGACCCACCGAGGAATACACTGACATTAATGGGCATCGCAACGAGCCATGTCGCACTTTAATCAGAGCAAAAGCGGCTTAAATTTATAATAATCTAATTGAAACGCAAAAAAAAAAAAAAAACCAGTAAGTTTAAAACAAAAAGCTAATTTATTTTCTTAATAAATGGCTTGATTTTTCACCAGAGAGTAAGATTAGATTGAAAAACAGAAAATAATAATAATAGGGAAAAAAAGCATTTATTTTATTAGCTTTTTTTTTTATAGGCAGTCACTTTTAACAGAGACTTCTGGATTGGATAATTGTATAATTAAAAATAAATATAACAGACTTCCTTTTTAATCTAATTTCCTTTAACGAATGATAGATTACTGAGAAGCAAAAGGGAAACAACATTTCATTAGAATGATTTTCTGAAGAAGCCGGAGGAGACCCGCCTCACTCCCTGCTCAGTCTGCCTGTTTCCCTCCACCTAACAGTGACCATGATGAGCCACAAACAGCTTCCAGCAGCGGGACCTAAATTATCATATTGTCTTTAAACTCTTAACAGCATCCTAAACCCGGTCAATTTATGATGTTTATTATGCAGGAAGTGGAATGCATGAAATTAAAGGAGCCCAGTGAGACGCACCGCGCACCAAACCAAGTTTATTCCTGTTATTCCCTCCATGCCTGCTGTATTCAACTTTCCTGCTCCCAAGGAATTCACTCATCCGTTCAGGCCATGTGTTTTAAGTCAGCGGTTCCCAACTGGGGTCCGGTGACCGGCAGGGGTCACTGAGAAGGAGCCAGGGGGTCGCAGGGAAAATAATCACCAACTTTCGGCTAAGGGGAAGTTTGATGATCCAATATAACCCATCTGAGTCAGTTTCTTTGTAGATCCGCTCATGGCAGGCTGCACACGAAATCAAATGACTTTTTTTCTCTTTCCCTTTTTTATTTATTTATTTATTTTTTAAATTGTGTCTGGTTATAGCAAATCAAGGGAATGTGTAGAACAAAAATCCTCAACATTTTCTTAAAACCATTCAATTCATTGTGTGAGAAGTTTTATTGGAACATTTTTTCTTCTTTTTTTTTTTTTTTTGGTCTTAATTTTCAAAACTGCGTCAGACTGTACGTCAATCCTGCTTCTGATTAAGTGACCCAAAATGTATATTTATTTGACTGAAAGTGCAGTTTTAAAAGGCACGCTTCAGAAAGCTGTGCGCTCAGACAGAAAAACATATATATATATATATATATATATATATATATATATATATATATATATATATATATATATATATATATATGTTAAGCGCTCACTGAACCAGTGGCCCACTGTCCCAGTTTCCTGCTGGCATCGGGAGCCAGTGGGCTCCAAACATTCACAGTTCAGGCTCCAGGCCCCTACTGACTGTCATCTCCACCATATTTCACATGCAGCATGAGGAAAAAGCACAGAAAAGGCTAAACAACAGAGGGACATAGGAGAAAAATACGCTCAAAGGAACGAAATCATGTATTTCCCATTGATTTTATGCACAAAAAAAGTCAGTGCATAAAATCAGATGGTCGCTCTACTGAAGCCAATTGCTGTAAATAACCTATTAATGGTGTTTTACGTAAAAACGAACAAATAAGATATCAGTTATTAGAAATAGTCATTCTGGGGCTCTGTTTTTTTTGTGTGTTTTTTTCATGTTAGAAAATTGGAAAACTTTTCAAATGAGTTGAAGAGGAAACACTTTTTTTTCTTCCTCCTTACTTTTCTTTCTCTTTTTAACACCACTTGGACTGATATGCAGTGAGGGTGTCAAAAGACCACACAAACAAGCCTAAAATACACGCAGGCGACCTGAAGGAAAAGTGTCGGTGGGGGGGCAGGCTTGTGGTGGAGAGGGCGCCGCCACTCCCCGATGAGACCTGCTGTGTGGAGCTCATTTTTCTTGAAGTGGCGAAAAAGGTCCCGCAAATTCACTGTTTGGTGTTAATGAATAGAGAATACGCATCTTTTTTTACATGAACGCATGAGATTTGCTTTGCGCATTGATAACTGTGTATGGAAACCTGCGCCTGTGCGTAAACTCCCAACACATCACATATATAGTCCAATTAAAATGTATGCTTTTGTTTTGATTCTCATTGAAACCAGGGGGGCGGAATGGGAATATGGACTAAAATAAGCTTTCGGGCTCTTGAAATCTGAGTGGAGAATAAAATGCGCTCAGGGGCGAGCCTGCGACGCACAGCAACACCAACAGTAGAGGGAAAAAATACAGATATTTTACCTTCAACGGCGTAGACCACAGACACCAAGAGGCTGCATAAAAGCAGAAAGTAATCCATTGTCACAAAGTGGTCAACTTGGACATGAAAACAGAGCCGCGGCTGAGAAGAGTGGCGCTGGAAAACAATCCCCGGTCCAAAGCTCCACGCACCCCTCGTCCCGTCCTAGTCACAGCTGCTGCGTCAGGGCTCCAGAATCAGTGGTATCCCCATTCAACAAAACGCACAGGGGTGAGAGTTCACGGGATTTATTTACCACCCTCCGAATTAATGTGTAAAAATTAAAGTCCTTCACGCCTTTTTGTTATTTTCACTGATCCTCAAAGCGCCGTATTAAACCAGAGAGGAGGCAGGCAGCGGGTGCGTCCCTTCCCTGCGCACTGAGCAAATGGGAGAGCAGGTAGTCCAGTCCTCGGTCACCATCCAGACAACATTCCCGTTTGGATTTTTGCTACAAAACAACCTGCCCTGGGATATTCCCCGATACTTTTGTCAGCAGTTCAGAGCAGATGAGTCAGAACCATGCCCAGTGGTCCCATTTCAGCATGTGCGCGCTCACGTGCGTCCGTGACCCAAAGGTATTCTTGTAAAGAAAACAGCCGCGCGGTTCACAGATATTTATTCCCTGAGCGAACCTCTCCACTCCTGGCTGCTCCGTTAAACCGTCTGTGTCTCTCGGATCGTGCACAGGAATGAAGCTCCAGAGAGGGGTGGAATAAGGAGTGAGAGGAGAGAGAGAGAGAGAGAGAGAGAGAGGAAGCAGACACCAAACGGGCACACAGGGAAGGAGGAGGGGTTCCAATGGAAGCAGCTGCGCTCAAAAAAATGCCCACCTATAAATTCATTTAGGTGACAAACATTTTGTTCTAAAAAAACACAAGAATGAATTTATTTGTTACACTGTCTGTCTCCTTCAGGTTATCTCTCACTGCACCATAGAAATCAATCTCCTCCTCACTTCTTATTATTTAATGTATTACTTTATTTATTGTTCAGCGCACTTCTTTAAAATGTGGGTATTTTTCTTTTCTTTTATTCAAGTGTTTATGGCAGTTTTATCCACCTTAAAGCTAATTTTGCTCTTTCTCCTGTATCTACAGTGAGTGAAATTGACTGTTGCTCTACAGTAATGGACACACAGCGCCCCCCTGTGGCTGCTCTCTTTTCAATTGAAACCTCCTGCTTATTTGCTTCAATCAAACAACTTTTATTCTCCATTTACAAGTTTTTCGGGACACCGACCTGACACTATAATGTGATGAATGAAAATACATCTAAAAATTATTTGACTATGTATATATATGTATATATTTTAAGTTGCATCTACTTATTGCAAAGTGTGTTGCCTGAAAAAGCCAAACCTATAAGACTGCACCAGTACACTTTACTGTGTATAATTCCATAGGACATTCACCTATCACCAGGATAAATGTTTATTTTTCCACGTCAGTGGATAAGATGAAGAAAGGGAGGCATCTGTCACGACCTACCACCAGCCTGTTTTACAGCCTTTCTCCTTTCATTGTCCCTTCGGTTTTAAACACTTGTAGTCTTATTGATTCACATTGTGAAACAAACAGCTGTCAGCAACGGTTTAAAAATCGACCCAAGCTTATGCAAAACATCAACAATGTCAGTTCTTTCCTTTTTTGTTTAGTAGAATTAGATTTTTTTAATAACTGAGATGGTCTTCAAGAAAAGGCAGTGATTCAAAAATGTGCTTACAGAACGCCTCATCCAAATGACCAGGGAAGGTTTTAAAAAAATGTTACATTGTAAATCATTGCCTTGTACATTTTCTTTTTTGTTTTATTTTACAGAGTGCCTATGTATTTAATTAACTTTAACATTGCATAAGGTAGGGTTTCAAAAAGCCAGCATTACTGAGCTGCCTTGAAACTGACTATGAATTATGATGAAAGCTTGTTTTTATACACTGTTCAATTTTGGGGGAAAAAAACAAACAAAAAAAATCTCTGCATGCATGTAAGATATTTACTGTTAAATTTGATTTAAAAGTTTTAGTTTTGCTCTAGTTGTAAAGAACAGACCTTATGCTACAGTGGATATTATGTTCAGTTTTATGCCAAGAAAATAGTTAATTTAAAATGCTGATTTAAAGAAAACATGAGCTTCAGTTTGACTGTATGAAAAAAAGTATTTTTTACAAATTCAGATCCTTTCAGGTAGGAAAATAGTATTTAAAAGCAGTTTTGTTATTTCCTATACAATGGTACATAATGATGCTGTCTTTTTTTTATTATTATTATATTTATTTTTTTATCTAAAATTCATGCTTCAAGTAAAAAAAAAAAAAAAACTTTTTATATGGAAAATATTGAGTTGTTAGACAAAAAGCACTTATATTTTACAATCATATTTTTTAGAAAAAAAAAATACAAAAGTACAATCCTACTCTGAATTTTTTTTTTTTTTATGTTAAATTGCATGTTTTAAATTGTTTAAAACATGCATTTTATGAAGTATTAAAAAAAACTATTGCATTCTACACGTATTCCCCAAAGTAGCAAAGTAATTGCAATACCAAAAAAGTAAAAGGATAAAGATAAGCCTTCATCATTATAAATAACCTAAAAAAGCTAATCAATTTGAGCGTTGAGTTAAATGTTCATCTTGAAGCAGGGATTATTCTAGATAAAGTTTATTATTGTAAACCAGCAATTAATACATTTTATATCCAACATAATTAAACACCACTATCTAAAAATCTTTGATTATGATTCAAATAATGAATTCCAAACATTTCTATACTTTAAATATAATCAGCAAGAAATATTCCCAAATGCATATGTTTAAATAAAATTTCTTGTATTTCTTTCTCCATGAAAGTCTCATTTATGTATCATAAATAATTTGCAAATATCAAAAACTGTATTTTAGTATCTGATTCTTATATTTTTTAAGATAAAAAATACTCTATAGTCTATATCACCAACAAGGTGACTTAAAAGAATATTTTCTTATATGTTGCCAAAACTACAAAAGCCCAGACTCTATTTTGCCGCTATTAAATGGCAACCAGGCGCTCTGTAAGTTTTGGCTGCCACCTTCTTAACCTCAGTTTGCTTCCTGCTTTACCTAGAGGAAATATAGAGTAACTTTGTAAAGAGATTACAACTTTTTTACTTCATTTACTTATTTTTTTCTCATACTGAACCAATCTATATTAAATATGAAGATCAGAAACCAAAAATTATTGTGTAATCCATCTTCTCATGAATATAAAAAATGGATGGATCAAAATTGTAAATTTGAGCTTGGAATAAACCAACAAGTAAAGAGCGTTTTGTTTTTTTCCACCAACTTGTTAATATTTAATCAAGATCTTGTACTTTAAAGCAATAATGTGGCTGTGTAAACTTAGGATGATTTAATTCTTTGTATATTACAGAGTTTATTGTTTGGTTTTTCCTGCTGAGTCTTCTTAGTAAAGGTAACAGCAAAACTATAGGCCTGTTTTTGTGTAATGGCTGAATTTTATGGCTTCAGGCCATCTGTGTTCTCCATACACACAGATGGCTTATTTTTGGGAATGTCGCATTGATGTTTTCTGCCTGGACACCCTGCATAGCCATTACCCTCTTCCACACTATGCCTTTATTTTGAAGATTTCTTTTACCTTTACTCTGTAATTCAGCCCCCATGAGGAAACATGATATTTTAACCGCTTTTGGATGCAAACTCCATGAAACCAAATTGTGGACATTGATTTTGTCCCAAAGCAGTGTTTGATCTGGTTTGAAGTCCGTAATTTGTTTCAAATGCGGGCTAAAACAAATGCATATAAACACGTACTGCACACAGACACAAGGAAATTGTCCGCTAAGTGCTCCTGAGAGCGTCCCAGCAGCACCTGGCACACATTAGAAACCCAATAAGCAAAGTGGCAGACATTTTACTGCCATATGGAAATTTCTCAAGCTTGCACCTACTGAGCTCTTGCCAGACCCTTGCTAACCTCATCCATCCTTCCTCCCACTCATCTCATGCCAGGATATCAGTGTCTCTACTTTCTCTCACACAAAAACACAAGACACAAGACCTTGTCTGACGCACACCAAACTTCTCTTTCGATTCCTCCCCTTCGAATCACATGCCTGGATGCATACACAAACACACACTCACACAATCACCCCGTTTAATGTGTCTAAAACTCCTGCAGACTCCACACCCCTCACACACAGGCACACGCACCCTGTGGCTCTCATGTCTGTGTTTGCTCTAATAGCAGCACTAATGTGAACTGAGTGTGAGAGGATCGCTTTACGGTGGCAATATTAAGCGGACAGCAAGATCTTGGTTCTGTTTTAAGTGTATTTGATGTGTGTGTGTGTGTCGAGGGTTGAATATATGCTAGTGAAAATGAGTGAAGAGGCAAAGTGTATTGGTAGAACTGGTGGAGGAGGAGGAGCAGTTGGTGTTGGGTAGCTCTGGAGAATCTCACAAAAAGCTCAAAGCTGAAATCCAGGAAGAGAGGAGTTGTGTGTGTGTGAGGAACAAAGAGGGGGGCTGTTCACAAGAGTTTTAGGACGGAGGTCTAATCCTCTAGGCCTTCACCACTGACTGAGCACTTAACGCAGGATCCCCAAATTCAGCCCATGCTGGACCCCCTCCCAAATAACCCTCACCCACCCTGCTTTGCAATAAAAAAACACCCACTTGGCTTCATGGCCACTGCTGTGACTTTAACAACAGTACTGCTGAATATCGCCACCTTCGTCGCAGGTTTTCCAACTTTCTTAGTTCTTCATCTTTACAGGTCCCAAACTTTTAAACCACTGTCTCTGGTACCTATTTTCCCCCCCTTCAACACCTCTCCTCTTATCCCAGAAAACATTAACTTCACTTTCTCAACTCACAGAAGATTTATGACTCAGACTCCAATCACCATGGCCCTGCAGTCTTCAGCCTGACAAAAACAGTCAAAAAGTCTTTTAGGCCGACAGACAGTCACAGATAGTCATTCGAATGCACGTATGAGGATGACGGTATCTTGCAGGCACACGCATGCACAGCTGACAGACAGCCTGAGCCTGTAAATTATACACTGTACAGACAACACGTAAGAGAGAAATAACCTTTCAGCACCGTAACAGGATTATGTAGAGAACACTCAGAAGTTTGACAAGGCATGTTAGAAGCTGAGGATGAAGAAAGTGAGTAAGTCATTGAAGTTGCTCCTCTTGCAAATGAGGTTTGGTTTTCAGCTTTATGTGAAGGCTTATGGATATGGTTATTAGGAGTGTTGGGACAGTTTAGTGTTTCAGAAGAAGTATTCAAAACAAGAACCTATGACTTGAGAAAGGGGAATTGATATTTTGTCATAATATACATGACATATGGGAAGCATATGACCAGTATTATTTTGCACAATATAAGTAAGCTTGAAGTAGTCACTTAATTTCTTTTTATTATATTTGCCTTGATTTGTCTAAAATGCTGTACAGGTGACCACAGGTCATATAAAATGTCAAATAAAAGCAACAAAGTGAACAGATAGGTCCAATTTATTTTCAGTAATATGGTTCCAAAATTAGTTATAAGCATCCTTCTTTCAACATAATCCTGCCAATATTAGATTTAGGTACATATAGATTAATTAGGAGTCAAAATTCAAATACGCCATATGTGAATAACTATGTACATTTCTATATATTATAAAATAAAATAAAAATATTTTTC